GGGATGGTACCAGAAGATCTCAGAAATGACTATTTTCCAAATTAATGAGTGAATTACAACTCCAACAGAGAACACTTGGAATGCAGCCTTTCAATCACCTCCTTAAAAGCCCGGGGTTGCCTAGCATGTGTGAGACACTAGGTTCTATTCTCAGCACTGCAGATAAATAAATGAATAAAATAAAGGCCCATCAACATCTTWAAAAACAAAACAAAATTCCCTGTTCCTGCTGATAGGCACAATCACGGACTTTGGGACAGGAGTTCCTTGTTTCTCCTTTGCTAGCAACGCAATAAACCTGATTTTTTCTTTTTCTCAAAATCATGTCCTTGTTATTGGATTGACATCCCGCAAAGACTGGGCTTTCGGCAAGAGGCAAGAACAGGAACATGATTTGCAAACTATTCCAAGGATTAGCAGTCTTCAGCCTCAAAACCCACCTGTGGTATTTCAGAAGGCAGGGGAATCACTGGGCATCACTGGCAGTCTTAAGACAAAGAATTAAACATGGGGCAGGATTAGAGAAATGAACACAAGATRGAAACAAAGAGGTGCAGAGGGGTGGTACTTCATAGAATACCTTTCACTCCCAAGCACCAAGCCAGGTGRTCTGCATTTTAAAATACTCTGCCAGGAAGGGGTTTTTAATCTTTTGGGTGTGGACTAGGACACAGAGGTACAGGTGATTGGGAGCATAGCGGAGCAGCCAACCAATCAGGAGTGGGGCTCAGGATTGCAAAGCAACAAGAACATTTGAAGAGTTCAAGGACACAATGTATGCAAAATCACAGRGCTAAGAGTGTCTGTGACAGGGCTAAAATTCGGTACAGCTGAAGGTGGAATGTGGGGTTGAGGCATGCGATGTATTTGTTACTCGGTGATGTTTTATTAGAGACCATCTATGTCAGGTGCTGTTTTAAGAATGATGGATTCTGTAGGAAAAAAACSCAAAAGTCCTCAGAAATATTTCCAACAGAGAATACACCATAAGCATAAAACTAAGTAAACAAGTGACTAAAGAAAGATCTGTGATGAAACAAACCATGGGTGAAGTGATAAAGGATGGGTGGGATAACAGTTTAGATAGGATGGTCAGAGTTCTCTGGAGTGGCATTCAGATGATAAGATGCAGCTGGCAGAGCAGCTAAGGGGTTCAAAGATCCTCAGGTGTGCTCGGGCTTGCATGGGTGTATGTAAAGCCGATTAGCCAACACTTGCTCCATGTGTGAAGCAGAGATTAGCCAACACTTGCTCCATGACCTTCTTTTAGTGGATGCTAAGAAGCCTGAATAAGGAAAGACTGCCTAAGGAGATACAGAAAAGGTCACAGATTTACTCAGGGTGGTCTTCAACTTTGTAGACTAATATGAACCAGAGTCCGGGTTGTCTATCCTGCATCTTAGCCAGAACTTTGCACATATTTCTGAATTTGATCTAAAACAAGGATTCAAATATGACCTCAAACGTCTCCTTCTACAGGCTGAGAGGAGCTAGGGGGCAGCCCCGGGGGGGGGGGGGCAGCAGTTAGGCAAACGGAAACCACTTCGGTAATACAGGACGGTAACAGCGGCCCTCACTGGGGTTTGCATGCAGAAGACAAAGGCCGGGGCAAGTCTGAGGGGGTGACAGCAGACGGGGGTACGAGTTCGGCCACCTCCACCGGGGAATTGCGGGGTGGGGGCGGAAAAGCTGGGCTCGAGGCGCCGCTGCACATGGCAGAGATGGACGGCCGGGAAGAAACGAGAAGGTGTCGGAGGCCGCGGGTGTCCGCAGGCGCTGCAGTGCGCGCCCCGCTCGGGTTCCGGAGAGCCGCGGGGACTCCTTCGCCGGTGGCTTGCGAACACCGCCTCGGGGCAGGGGGGGTACCTCCGGGTAGTCCGCGGACTCCACCCGACCGGAAGTCGTCGCGGGGTATTGTGGGCCGCGGTTCCCGCGCCGCGCCAACCCGGCCGCARACGCCGCGGAGCCACAGTTCCCAGCAAGCCCCGCCCTGCACCGCGCGGGCTTTGCGTTCCGGCGACCGGACTTCCGGAGGAGCGGGGGCGGGGCCGCGGCAGAGGCTGCAGCGCAGCGTCGGGATGCAGCGCCCCGGGCCCTTCAGCACCCTCTACGGGCGGGTCCTGGCCCCGCTGCCCGGGCGGGCSGGGGGCGCGGCCTCCGGCGGGGGCGGGAGCAGCTGGGCCCTCCCGGGCTCGCACGTGCAGCCGCCGGGGCGCGCACTGCCCGGAGCCCGTGGCGCCAACGGCCGGGACTCGGACGGCGTCTGCCCCGCCACCTCCACCATGTCCAAGACTGAGGAGGCCAAGAGGGTGGCGGGCCGCGCGGCGGTGGAGGACCACGTGAGGGTGAGCGGCGCGGAGGGGCGCCTCCGMGGCGGGGCTGGTGGCTCGAGTGAGTGCGGACCCCTCCCGGCGACGCGCGCGGGCGAGTGCCTGACCGGCCCGCTTTCCGCGAGCCCCGTGCACGGTGGCGCCTTGTGGTGTCTGATATCGAGGTGGAGGTTGCAGACACCTGCTTATCAACAGCTGGGGCGAAGGGAGGGCTACCCTTTCACCGTCTCGGGAGGCCGGTGGGCAGCTGGTGTGCAAATCCTCCCTTGGTGCGCGCTCGCCCGCCCCGCCTGCGCTCGCGGGAGGAAGGAGAGGCCGGGCCGAGCTAGCCGGGCCCTGGCTTCCTCCCTTCCGCTGGCCAGGGGACGCTCGGGTCTGGGGGTGCTGCTCTTTAAGGCGGGGCTGCTGGATGTTGAGCAGTTAGTCACTCAGCGAGGTCGTGGCCCCTCTTGTTCGGTGGCGGGTGTGCTGCTGTCAGTGCAGTCTTTCAGTTCAAGTAGGTTTGCTGTCATCAGTCAGCAAATTATACCTAAATTATAGCACTTTCCTGGCCTTGTTAGCTTTTTGTCTGTTTCCCACCCTTCGGTATCAGAGTCCCTTTCTCCTCAGATGGGAGTTCTTTATACTTATGAATTCTTTTCTATAAAGAGGACCAAGTCCTTTGAGCTTCACTACAGCCTGGTTAAATGGGAGGGGCATTATGGCAACTTGTGGCTTGGCCTGTTCTGTGCAACAAATGGCCAAACCACGCCACTCCTGTTAAGGGTCCTTCAGCTGGTTCCAAGCTGCCCTGTCTTGATGTAACTTATTGCAAGTCTGGTTAGGAATAGCATTTCTATAGGAAATGAGAGAGAGAACGTAAAATGTGTAATTTGGTCCAACCTTTACAGCCAGAGGTCACAGTGCCACAGCTGTAAAATTGGGACATTAAGCTGAAATTTCAAAATACCCACATAAAGTGAATTGTTGATGGGGAAATGAAATCCACGCACTTAGACAAGTCCTATTATCTGTTAATGTATTTACATTAATATTTGGTTACAGGTTTCTCCCTGACCTTTGTTTTATGGTTACATTATTTGGCTAATAAAAATCTGCAAGCCCTCATTATCAGATTAGAGCTCCAAACCATGGATTGCAACCACATCATTTAATGAAGTTACTAGGCAGTCCTGGGGAGCTCTCCCTGGGCGTTTTGGAAGCACCTGTTAAAATCATGTTGTAGACTTCAGTTATTTCAAAGGCCATTTCCTATTTCAGTTTTTTTTTTTTAGCTTCCTAAGGAGAGGAAGCTTTCTCTGCTGTACACAAAATTTTTAATCTCATAGGTGCTTTAAGTTGGTGGTGGTTTAACTACTAGTCTTCTCTGTGATTGTCCCTCCTAATCCCCTAAAAGGGAAGCTCCTGGAGAAGAGTTAGCTTATCTGTATTCAGCGTTGGCCACCATGAGGCCTGCTAGTAAATGTTAGTTGAATTGGGTTGAATGAGCACACAGATATGGAGGTTGTGGGGTTATTGGTGGTCTTTAGTCCCCTTATTTCGTTAGCATTCCATTGTGGTAACCGTTTTCACTTCTGGGTTTTTAGATAATTCTTAGCTGAAGCCTGATCCTGGGTGGAGTAACCCAGGACAGGACTGTACTCTCCTGAAGGTCTGTAGTATCATCCCCTTGATCTCTGCAGCCTGAGCTTTGCTTTTTGATTAGGCTAGCTTGAAGAAGCTAATGGGCAGTGGTTTCCATTGGTCAGCAAAAGCAGCATTTATGGGCTCACCCTGTTGGATGAGGTGCATGGAGTTCTGATATTGTTCATGTGACATGTGGTGTAGTGTTTACCTTTAGAAGGACCTTCTGCTGTTGGGCTGCGTCTGGTTGGCCTTTGCATTGGTTCTCGGCCAGTCATTTGAGTCCAAGATAGCAGGAACACATGGTTTAAGAACTTTTGAGTTTGGCAAACCCCTGCAATTCCTGTCCTCTTCCTGATGCCTTGTACATAACTTTCTGATAGACCCASGTTTCTCCTTGTGCCATCTAGAGTTCTTGCCTACAGGTTAAGCATGAAGTTCAGATTAGGCCTGTCAAATGCTGGGAAGTGAAGACATTTTTTTCATTACTTGAAGATTTCTACATGTTGGTATTTAGCCATTTTGAATGTTTCTGTGTTGTGACATCTTGTAGGGACGCTGTGATATTCATTTGTTCGTCTTGAGTCCTTGCTTTTGAGTTTTGCCCAAGCRCTGAATGGTTTATTGGCTGTATTTTTGTTTTTTGGGGTACTGGGGATTGAACTCAGGGACACTTGACCACTGAGCCATGTCCCCAGCCCTATTTTGTACTTTATTTAGAGACAGGGTCTCACAGAGTTGCTAAGTGCCTTGCTTTTTGCTGAGGCTGATTTTGAACTCACAGTCCCCTGCCTCAGCCTCCCGAGCCTCTGGGATTACAGGCGTGTGCCACTGTGCCCAGCAGCTGCATTGTCTTCTTGAGGTACCATCACAGGTGGGCTCCGCAAAGTGATTCTGATGACCCAAGCCCCTTAGTGCATTTGGTGATGTAAAGGTAATTTCTACCACAACCCACAAGTTGTGGGATGAATTCTGCTCTGGGTAGGACAGGACCAGCTAGAAGCATTTTTAGTGTACAGGTGTGTGGTTGTCATAATATTTGATTTGAGAGGGTTATCCCCCCCATTCTCTTTACCTGTTGGTCATTCTTTGTAATCTTTTTTAGTTTCAGATGTGGTCTTATTTTGAGAAGGACCAACCATATCAAGTGTGGGACCCAGGGGCTTAGCCTTGGGTATTCCTGTGGCTTTTGTCTTGTTGGGAGTGAGAGGTTCTAGCTGTGGCCCTCAGTTTGTCYTGAGAGGCTTCTAGGATTTTTCTTCTTCCTGCAAAGGTTTCACAATCRGCTCTCCCTTGCCCAATGTGTTGTTAGTCATTTGTTGGAACTCAAAGAAATTTGAAATGCAATGTTGTTTTGGCACATTGAACTTCCTGAAGTTGCTTATTTAAAGTGAGGGTGTGTGTGTGGGGGGTGTTGATACTATTAAAAGATGATTTTTTAAGATTATCATACAAATGAATGTGTGTTAAGATTTTTTTAAAATTATTAAATTGATGAGGGAACTGGAAGAGGTGTTAGAACCTGTTTGCCTGTGTGTTAGTCCATTTTGCTGCAATAACAATACCTGAGAGTGGGTTAGTTGTAATAAACAGATTTATTAAGTCATAGTTTTGGAGACTGGAAAATTCAGCGTCCAGGTGCTGACATGTGGCAGGAGAGAGAGGGAAAGATCTGGGGTGTTAGTGGTGTGAATGGGCACCAGTCCCACTGTGAGAGTGGAGCCCTTGTGGCCTAACTCTGAAAAGTCCCACCTCTTATTGCAGGCAGTCCCTGACTTGAAGTGGTTTGACACAGGATTTTTTGATGGTGCAAAAGGGATATGCATTCAGTAGAAGACATTTTTTGAATTTTGAATTTTGATGTTTTCCCTGGCTAGTGAGTGATGTATAGCATGGTACTCATCTAAGATGATTGGCAGCGGCAGTGAGCATTGGTTTCCAGTCAGGCCTGTGATCATGAGGGGAAACAGCCGGCACTCCACAGTGTGCTGTGTTGCTAGGCTGGCATGTTTGGTAGGTTACGAGTGGTAAATCTGACTTAGGATATTTTCAACTTACGTTTAGTTTATTGGGACATAACCCCATCATAAGATAAGGAGCATCTGCACTGTTAAAATGGCACTTGAATTTCAACAAGAATTTTAGAGGGGATGATCATTCATACCATAGCAACAGGAGAAATTCCAGAACCTTAAATTCATATGCAGTCAAGAAATGTTAACAYGAGTTTATAAGAATTGATTGAATTATAGCTATAGGATGATAATAGGTTGCATCTCACAGAACACATTTAATTTTGCATTTCTAAGGGTAAGGATTGTTTGCTTTCCTTAACAAGTTTGTCTGTACAAAGCTGTCACATGGTACACACCTAGTCAGGTTCCAGCATTCCATTGAAAGGCTATCTAGTAAGCTGTTGGTAACTTCAGAGTCTTAATTTTTTTCCTTACAGTGTTGAATTAATCTCTGAAGTGGGATGAGAGGTCTCTGGGTTATTGGGATGGCTGAGATTTGACCTTTGTTAACATTTATGTCTTGGTAGGTACCTCCTAARTGGTTTTGGTTGTTTTGCTGTAGCCTGGCAGGAGGTTGATCCCAGGAAGTTGCTTAAGAACTGACCTGTATTAGTTCCTGGCTGCTTCTAGTCCCTGGCCTTGTCTTGTTCTTTGTGGTCTGACTGGTCTGCTGATAGGCACCTTTGCCCTTTCTGAAGGTGGAGACTGTTTATGCTCTTTGTCTGTTACACATACTTCCTGTTGCCGATGGAGACAGTTTCTCATGTTCTTTCTGAGCTTTCACTCTTCCCATTTTTTCTGAGGCAGACTCATGCAAAACGGGGGCCCCTTAATTTACTGTCCTGCTGGCTGGCGGGCCTGATGTGTCTTTGAGGTTTCCTGCTGCCAACCTGAAAATGCCTGTGGTCAGTCCCTTGCCTTCCAGATGTGAAGCTTGTGGGAAGAGCCACAAAAGCTTGCTCTCTAAGACCCTCTCTCCCTACCCAACCCCCAGACCTTTTCTTTCTGATTAGCTCCCTGAGCTTGGCCAAGAATCTTGCTGTGTTTATCTGTAGGCCATTTCTGTGAGGCCAATTTCAGTTGCTSTAAAGTTGCTTGTGGTGTAAGTGATGAGCCATTTGTTTAGTCTAGAAAAATGCAGGGAAGGCGTGGTTATGTGGCTGGGGTCAGCAATGAAAGGAGGCTTCTGCTGATAGTTGTCCCTGGGTGCTAGGCTAAAGTACAGCTTTGCCTTGCAGTGGTCCATGTCTGTAGACCTGCCTTGCACCTGTGTTGATGAATCACTGGTCATAATGATTTCCTACCTTTAGAAAGTAGGTTGAAGRAGGAGTAAAGTACACTATTAATGTATTTTGTTTTCTCTCCCTGTTCTTGGCAGAATAATCAAGTGCTGGGAATTGGAAGTGGCTCTACAATTGTCCATGCTGTGCAGCGAATAGGTATGTTCTCAGACTGCCTGCTGATGCCTTGTGTGTGGTGATGGGAGAGAGGGAGGTGGAGGAGGGAAGGGAGCTGAGCAGGTTAGACAGGTTGGGCTCTTGTCCATCTTGGCTCCAGCAGTGCAGATCTGGGGAGAGGGCACTGCTTGCCTGAGGTCAGCTGAGTGTTTCTGTCCCACTCTGGAGAGAGGGATTGTTGGACCTCGTTAGGCAGCTCTGGGGTCCCTTTGCCTTGCAGAGCTCAGCTGGAGGGGAGGAGTTGACTAGGTGAGGCCCCCAGCAGGTTCATCACTTGATGATGCATGCCTATCAGCCCATCAGGGTCCTTTGTGTGTTGTCAGGCCTCCTCTGAAGCCTGTGAGTTCCTTAGGCAAACGTGTGGAGGTCATGCTTTTGGTCAATACCTTTGCCCTGTCCATGACTCAGGAGTGAACATGAGGCTCTTATAGATGGTGGCAAATTGCTGTAAGTGCTGACTTCACTCCGATTGGGTTATGTCCTTACTTAGGAGAGCCTCAGGAATGATAAGTCTCTGTGACTGCTCAACAGGTTCTTCKACCCTGCTCTCTGTTTTAGAACAAAGTCCAGGAGGTACCTGAATGCTGATCTCCTCGGTGCCAAGAGGCAGGGCCAAGAAAGCAAAATCTAGTTCATTTTGTCAGTAAGAAGTGGCTGTAAGGGGGCTGGGGCTGGGGCTCAGTGGAGGAGTGCTTGCCTAGCATGTGTGAGGCACTGGGTTTGATTCTCAGAACCACATATAAATAAAGGTCCATCAACAACTAAAAAATATTGAAAAGGTGGAGGGGTGTATTGTAATATTGATGTGGTGTCTTCATAGGGCCTTCTTACTGGTCAATCAGGAGGTGTAGTGCTGTGTGCCTTTCTGTCTTAGCCAAACCTGTGAGAATTTTAGGGCACAGAAAATATGGACTTGATTAAAAATACTTGAAATTTTAAGAAGACTTTTTTTCCTTAAGACTTTTATWAAAAAAAAAAAMAACTCCCCTGAAAATTTAAAATGAATAAAATAAATGGGGCCTGCAGATGATTGTATTTTTTATTAAATGCAAAGGGAAGTTCTGACTTTTTCCTGATGAGTGGTGAACTATCAAGTTACTTTGCCTCAGCATGCCTCATTTTCCTCATCTGTAAAGTAGTGGTAACAACTGTAACGTACCTTCTGGGCTRTAGGGATCATAGAGCTTGTTCTGCAAAGTCCCTAGTGCATTGCTATGCTCATAAGAACAGCAGGTGTCTGTCACTCCCTCTGTGTTAGCACTCACCTCCCTGGTCCTGGGGTCCCTGTCTGTTGATGCATGAAGCRAGGTCCACCAGCATTCTAACCAAGGACAKGGTCACAGAATAGAAGGCAGTTCTYGGTGGCAGAYAGGTCTTTCCCTTTCTGTGGGATTTGAGCAAATGCACATATAACCAGAAAAATAAAGTGAGGAGAGTGGGAAACCCCAATATGGCTTTTGTCTCCACAGCTGAGCGAGTGAAGCAGGAGAGTCTGAGCCTCATCTGTATTCCTACTTCATTCCAGGTATGTCCTGCTTTCCACTTGCATCTGGGCAGCCGCTGCTCAGTCTTTGACTCCCTAAGATGTGGACCTGTGGCTCTGTCACCCGTCAGGCTGGTTCTGCTTCAGGAGAGGAGTTGATTGACCCAGGGTTGCTCTTTGCCCTGTGGTTTTAGATGATTCATTTGCCCCAACGGTATTTCAGGTGGCTTGAGTCAGGCGCAATGAGGTATGCGGAGATGAACGTGTGGTCTCTGTTTTCAGGGAATCTTATGCCCATTTATAGATGAGGAAAACCAAATCCTAAAGGAATTAAGCATTAATAATGCAAGTACAGTATTTTGGTTTCATGTCTAAGGTGCTTTCATCACGAAATAGAGGGAGCTGGAGGAGGAAGCAGAGCAGCAGGTTAAAGATARGGAAAGATGAGAGGGAGCAGACTTAGGACAGTGGGTGGGGGACAGGGCCTCTCACAGCTGCTTGCTCAGTTCCACCGAGAGGTTGYGGTAAGTGATTCCTTAGGAATTTTGAAGCATTTCTTTTAGTTTTTAATTTGATACTGAGAAGCTCCCTACCATTCGGATGCCTGAGCCTTCTTTTGAAATGTATTTGTAGTTCCCTCAGAACCGTGTGCCTTCTGTGGATCTTGTCCTTCCCCTAGAGCTCTGAGCCATGATGTGCCTGCTGTGGGCCTCGTCCTGCCGGGCACTTGCTGGAGCACWTGGTTCCGCAGACTCACACTTCAAGTGCTGGAGACTGTTCCTGTTCTTAGATTTGCCTTTCCTGTTGTTCTGGCCTTTCTGCCTGGGACCCTTCCTGGGGCTTGGTGATTGTGGACTGGCTTATATTGTCCTACTTTTAGCCTTGTCTTTCCCAAACTCTCTTACGAGTCTTTCAAGAAGTTCTCATGTTTAATTTCTGAGGACTCTTGTTTTCTTCAAGTTGTCTTTTTTTCCCCAGTTTCTCTGAAGATGTTAATTTTATATATATATATATATATATATACATATATATAATATTTATTATTTTATTATTATATTATTATAATATTACTAATATTATAAATATTAATTTTATATATATATATATATATATATATTTTAAAATAATTCTTCTTGTAAGGAGTATTTTCCTTAATTATTTTCCCCAATTTGTGGGAGGTAAAAGTTACATACAGTAAAATTCGCCTTTTATATTATATATTTGAATTTGACAAACACATAATCTTTTTTAAAATTTTTTAAATTTTGTTTTAATTATACATGACAGTAGAATGCATTTATGCACTTTGATATGTCATACATAGATGGGATATAATTTCTCATTTTTCTGAGTGTACATGTTGCAGAATCACATTGGTCACATGTATACATACAGTAATAATGTCTGTTTCCTTCTTCTCTCTTTTCTATCCCCATATACCCTCCCTTCCCCTTCCCTCCCATCACTTCCCTCTACCTAATCTAAGATACGCTATTCTTCTCTAGTGCCCTTGCCTTATTGTGAATTAGCATCCACATATTAGAGAAAACATTCGGTCTTTGGTTTGTGGGATTGGCTTATTTTGCTTAGCATGATATTCTCCAACTCCAGCCATTTACTGGCAAATGTCATAATTCCACTCTCCTTTAAAGCTGAGTAATATTCCACATTTTCTTTATTCATTTATTGAAGGACACTTAGTTTGGTTCTATAGTTTAATTATTGTGAATTGAGCTGCTATAAACATTGATGTGGCTACATTACTGTAGTATGCTTATTTTTAATCCTTTGTGTATAAATCAAGGAGTGGGATAGCTGGGTCAAATGGTAGTTCCATTCCCAATTTTCTGAGGAATCTCTATACTGCTTTCCATAGTGGTTGTACCACTTTGCAATCCCTCCAGCAATGTATAAATGTACCTTTTCCCCCACATCCTCGCCAACATTTATTGTTGATTGTATTCTTGATAATTGCCATTCTGACAGGAGTGYGGTGAAATCTTAGAGTAATTTTGACTTGCATTTCTCTAATTGCTAGAGATGTTGAACACTTTTTCGTATATTTGTTGATCAGTTGTATTTCTTCTGTGAAGTGTCTGTTCAGTTCCTTAGCCTATATATTGATTGGGTTATTTATTTATTTATTTTTGCTGTTAAGTTTTTGAGTTCTTTATATATCCTAGAGATTAATGCTTTAAATATTATGTGCATGAAACATAATCTTTTAATAATGAACACAATCAAAATATTATTATTATTTTGGTCTTTTAAAATTATGTTGGTCTTTCTTAGTTTTCTGCTCATCTTAAAGACAGATGGGCTTGGAAGCTGATTAGGCAGCATGGGATGAGGGTGGCTTTCTTCTTGTCCATTTTTCCTCTTGCTGGATGATTTCCCTGCGAAGGCAGCYCAGTGCCATTTGGGGAGGGACAGGGTTGTCTTGCTGTGTCCTGGCAGCCAGGTAGGCAGGGTGGACTAGTAGACACCTGGCAGGATTCTGGATGTGACCATGTTTTTGATTCTCTGGTTTTTGGTATGGTAYCTGTGATAGATGGGAGAAAGTGTAACATTGTGCAGTATCTACTTGAACCTGGTGTGATCATGTGGCTTGTTTGCTAATGGGACAYGGTTCATGAGAGGCAGCAAGGATCTGAAAGTCTTTTGCACTGGGGCTTGGCCCCTCTTGTTGTTGGAACCATTCTGCTACCATGTGAAGTAGCCAAGCCTAGATTCCTGGGGGATGAGAGGTCCTATGTGACCAGTGGATGGGGCTGGCTCACATGAGCCAGCCCAGTCAGTCCACAGAATCATGATAAACTGAGTTTGGGGGCAGCTGCTCTGCAGTAGGCTCGCTGATGAAGTGCTCCTGTCCRGGTTGTGCCTGGTCCCAAGACCAGCTGTTTTCCTTCTTTGGCACACTGCTTTGGGAGTGGGAAAAGAGGTTATAGAGTTACAGGCCCTTAAATAGCTTTTTAGATAACCTTCCCTTTTCACCCAACCATTGAATCCACTTTCTTGTTCCTGGTGACTCTGCTTCTGAGTTTGTGGAAATCCTCCTCTAGTGTTGAGTTTCTTGCCTTGGAGCTGTCTCCAGTACTGACCTAGTATTTTTTCTGATGTCTAACATTTGCCATTGTCCGTCAGTGGCTGCGTTAGGGTCCCTGAGGAGCAGGACTGTAGACAGTGTACAATTACAAGAGAGATTTGTTAGATGGTTTGCACAGGCATAGGCAGTACTCTCACCAYGGCCGTCTGCAGCCTGGAGAACCAGGGAGTGCAGTGGCTGGTCAGTCTAGTCAGCGGGAACCTCAGAGCAAGTGAAGCCACGGTGCAGGCTAGTCCTAGGACGAGGGCCTGAGGTCTGTTGGGGAGCCACGGGTGCAAGTCCACATTCCCAGAGTCTRTCTTCAGGTGACAACAGTGGCCTGAAAACACATGTCAAGAGGGTAGATAGTGTGTGTGTACCGAGCTTCCCCTCCACCACTTCTGGCCCCCAGCTGCAGGATGGCTCCAGGCAGCTCTTCCCCACTCAGYTTTCAGACCTAAACGCCAGCCATCTCTGCAAACACACTCACAGACACACCCCATGTGTGTTTTATCAGTTTTCTTGTCCTCAAAGAAGTCAGGTTGACAGTCAGAATTAACCATCATAGTGACCCAACTTTTGAAAGGTGTTTTTTTTCTCTCTTCTGTGAGATTTATTCCTTAAAGAAAAAATTCTTTATTATAGTTATAAAGAAATTTTAGAAAGATGTTGGTAGGGTTTCCTTCTGAGGCTGTGAAGGTTGAGGGTTCTCTGCCTTCTCTCAGCTTTTTGGGAGGTTGTTGGCTGCCTTTTGTGTTCCTTGGCTTGTGGGTCTCTCACCGTGATCCCTGCCTTCATGCTCCTGGGCTGTTCTTCCTSCATGTCGGTTTCTGTCAGAATCTCTCCTTTCTCCAAGGACGAGGGCTCACTCTCCTAACCTTGTTTTAATTTGATAACCTCTGTAAAGACCCTTTCCTGCAAAATGTCACATTCTGAGGTCCTGGGGTTGGGACCCAACCAATGTGTGTTGGAGGAAACAGTTCAGCTGTTAACATTCAGGAAGGATGAGGCTTGTGCCATGTATTGTCACGGCAAAACTTGCTCTTGTGGGGAATCAGGTCAAAGGTGGGGAGAAGGGAGTTGGGGGACCCGCCGATGGGAGAGGACTGAAGTGTCCTGGCTCCGTGAGATCTTGAAGTCCATGTACAAGGGCCAGGTTTCAGTTGTTAYATAAAAATTATGGAAGGCCCTGGTGAACTCTTCACAGTGCCCCAGTAGATCAGGCTGAGAATCAGAATGAAGTTTCTAATGCTAATATTCCATATCACCAAACTGAAACGGAGTTAGCCAAGCTTCCGAGAAGTTGGGAGAACAGTAACAGCTGGGTCTACAGCAGATGTGGTGGTAAGGCGTGCCGATGAAGTTTGTTCTGTTTTAGACAAGCCAGTATCTTGAAGCCCAGCAGCTGCTCCTCTGCTGCTGTTTTCTTTTGTGCTAACTGACAAGGAAAGGAACCTTGAAATGACCAATTTAATCTGCCTGTGTTGTTTCTGCTTTCTTTAGTCTTGATTCATCCACAAAAACCAACCTCCTTGCTCAGCTCATTGAAACACTCATTTTATTTGGTGGAATGAAGTGTTGCCTGATTTCTAGAATTACAAATGAAGCTAATTAAGACTTTTAAATTTGTTGCTTTTTTTCCTTACTGTTCCAGTTTTTATGATTGGCACATGGTATTTGTGTATATACTTTGGTACAATATGATGTGTGTGTTAATCATCGGGTTTAAGATACAAGATACGTGAGACACGAGAGGGAGTGTGTGTGTGTGTGTGTGTGTGTGTGTGTGTGTGTGTGCCACCCCCCTTGCTACTCTGCCCGGCTGTGTTGTTCATAATACTAATCCCAGAAGTGTCACCCCATTTGCCCTTGGTCACACAGACCCTGTGTGACAGGAGAGGAGACTGACCGAAGGCTCTAATACTAGGTTGTGAACTGGCATTGGGATGGCTCCTGC